GTTTTACATTGTGATTGCTGGTTTTTGTTTTATGTGAGTAATTTGTGATGTGGGGACTGTGAAGGCTTGTGTTGCCCTGTGCATGAAAGGCGTCTAAAATTAAACTTTGTTTGATTGATTGATTTCATATTGTCTGCAACACAAAAAAGATCATAAAATATCTAGCTATAGCATGATATGAGAAGTAGTTTATTGTATTATTATCTTTTGCTTAATACAGAATAAAATAATTACATTGAGCTTATAAAGAAGCATGAATCCTGTATAATCTAGAGAAGACATATACATGTTGTAGTTTACATCTGGACATTAGCCAGCTTGAGTGCTATGGGATATGTAAGTACAGTTATAGAAGGAAAATATGAACTGGTAAACACTAATACAATGTCGTACGAACTGCATATAATTCATTTCAACTCAATGTGTTGCACTGAACTATCAGAAATGTGAAATAAATATAGGATAGTTACACACATCAACAATAATTAGCTAATAATAATTAGCTCATGCGCTGGAAAGACTACTACAAAAAGGGACGTAACAAAACCGGAATTACTGTATATCAGTAGATATACACGTGTATACAGATTTTGTTTGTACAAACGCAGAGTAAAGTGTTTTCTTTACTCAATATTGATCCAAAACCGAGAGTTCTACGGCAGCAGGCAAATAACATATGCACGGGGGTTAAACAATCATAAACAGCGCACTACACTCTCGAGATTTAAACTACAGGACGTGAGTGAACGATCTACGAACAATATGAGAGATTTATGGAGTGAACATAAAGAACGACAACTAATAACATTGTGTTTTATCAGAGGAGACTTACCGAGTGCGTATGTAATCAGAATGAATGGTGAAAGCCGGCTCTCTCTGTTTAAGAGCAGCGCCACAATGTATTCCCATAGTACTTGGATGGGGAGACCGCCTTGGGAATACCAGGTGCTGTAAGCATTTGCCCCTGGAGCTCGGGCCTGGGGGCGAGCTCAACAACTGCGCGAGTGTTTGTGTTTAGTTGAGTTGAGTTGGAGTGCAGCTTGAAGTTGTTCCGTCTCTCACCTCTCATAATTTCGGTAGAATTCAAACAAAATAATGGAAGTTGTTTAGTAGTGTTTGTTTACTGCTTAGGCTAAGAATGGGTGAATATTTCTTTAGAAGTTTTGATTTTGCCAATTTAATTTTGAAAAGGTATACTATAAATACAACCACGTATTGTTTTTTATGAGTTTGTTTTGAAAAAACGGAATAACTAATGGGATTGAAGGGGTACACTGATTGTACACGGCATTATAAAGGATTTGAGTTTCCAATTTGAATTAGAAAAGGAAAATAACAATAATACGAATTGGAAAATTTGTTTTTCTGATTTTATTTGAAACGGAATAACTGATTGATTGAAGGGTACACGGATTATTCAGAATACTATATTGTATGGATTAGCAATACAAAATTTTAAACTACACATGTTACCTATAGTTACATTAATAGGAATTTAATATGCTCAGGAGATAGAGATATTATGGCAAAACATTTGCATTATCTTGATATAAGGCATTTTAAGCGTCCTGCACATACGCACGGCTCATTCACTCAGCGCTCTTTTAGTAGTAGATCCAGTGTTTGTCTCCAGACGCCGGTGTGGCGTAGTGGGATTGTCCAAGTCTTTACGCTGGAGATCAGGGTTCAGAGCCACGGACCAATCCTCAATTTTTTTGCTGGGGGGAGTATAGGAATCAGAATTACTATTGTTACTGAATATAGTTGCCATTTTTTTCTGCAGTTTGGTTGGTGCAGATTGTGATGTTTACAACAGTTTATACAGGTCTAGCAAACTATTTTAAATGTGTTTGGCCTAATTATAAGTATGTTTTTGAAAAATTTTAAACGTCAACAAATTCAAAAGTGTTCGTAGACTGACTTGAACCGAGTCCTCTCACACCAGAGTCCACCTCTTTATCATTGTGCTATATGCCACAGAAAGTTGTCCGGTGGAACAGAGTAAACATAGACCAGATGTGAAGCCATTTTACTAACCCTGCTCACAAGTGCAACCTGGTGGTTGTTCGTGTCATTTGCAGCATCACTGGGGGAAATAATAAATAAAAGACGCGTGAATCACAAGTGAGTCTCGGGTGATCTCACGACGTGAATGGCGACAAAACGAAGTGGGGTCCTACTGTAAGCCACAGAACGCAAATCCTAATAATGAGATTGGTTTAAAGTAGGAAAGGAGGAGAGGATAGTGCTAAAATACCATACTTTTCCCAGCAGAATTACCTCCCTACGCCAGCTTGTACTGACAGTCAATGTTGTCTAGCCTTCCCTGAGCATTACCTTCCTTTTTCATATGCTAAATAAAGAGACTGTTTTAAGACTTACTTGAATGTGGAGACCGTGTCCGAACCGTAGGAGATTACAGCAGCAGCCGCGGCTAGGCTAGCCCCAGGCTAAGCACCAATTATTTGTGGATTACACACCAAGTGTGTAACCCAAACCCAGTACATAACAACCTAACCCAATTGGCAAAATTGTTGCTAAAGAGGCATAGAGATGTTTAAGTCGGCCTTGAATGTGGCGACCGTACTCTGCTTCCTTATTCCACAGTAAAGGGGTTGGTAGCTAAATGATATGCTGTGATGTACTTTTTGAGACCTTAGGAACCTTCTGACGTCTGGCGGTTTTGTGTGCACAGTGCTCGGTTGGTTGATATAGGCACTTAACGTGTCTTGATGATACAGAACGAGCAAGGCCATTCATGGCTTTGTATACTAAAAGAAGGATTTCCGTGTCACTTTTAGGAAGGATTTTCTTGATTTTAGCGTGTTAGAAGTGGAAAAAGATGTTTTTGTTTGCTTGGCTTATATAAGATCTGAAGGAGGTGTTGCACATCCGAATTACCACTCCAGAACTTAGGCGATGATGTGTGATTCAATTTTGACAAAGTGATACCGTTCCGATAGATAGGATTTAAACCAGCCAGGGCTGTTCCTCTGAGACCTATTCACATTTAGCCTCCGCAGTATGAATTCTGTGGGGCTATTGTGTTTAAATGGAGCACTGGGGGTCCAGCAAAAAATAGGACCAACACTGACACTTGGCACTATAGCAGCTAGTAGTATGTCATTTGTTTACTTTGGACTAGTGCCGTTTCAGTGCGTGATGAGCTCTGAATCCCCAAATTGAAGGTTTCAAACATTTTATTTTTCCTGAACGGTGGAAGCAAAGCTGTTTGGCTCTAAGATTTCCAGGATTTTGTTTTGTTCAGAAGGAGTTTGATACCGCCGGTTTTAAAAAGCTTTGTGGGACATAGCACATTGTATAGTGTGTTTATTATGTTTAAGATTGGCTCTTGTGTCAAGGAGCTGTGTTTGGAAGAGCCATGCTCTTTTAAGACACATTGGGGCGACGGTGGTTCATTTGGTAGAGCCATTGGGACCTTTGAAGCCTGAAGGTCGTGGGTTGGATACCCTGGTTCCACTGACTCCCACTGGATGTCTGCTGTCGTTGTGTCCTTGGCAAGACACTTAACCTATGGCATGATGCCACTGTGGGGCGGATGTGGCTGTGAAGTGGCAAACTGCCGTTGTGTTCCTAGGGCAAGGGACACTTGAACCTCCATTGCCTAGAATGAGTCTAGTGTGTGTGTGAATGGTTGGTGGTGGTCGGAGGGGCCACCAAAACACAAAAAAACAACAAGGGCACATACTGGCTCAGCTTCTGTCAGTGTGCCCCAGGGCAGCTGTGGCTCAGTAAGCGTTTATCACCTGTGTATGATGTGAATGAATAATGCAGCCCCGCGAAAATTCAATTTGGTAGAGTTAACCAAAATTACCCCTCCAGGCGGTTCACATCCCAGCTTTCGCCTCAATGGACGCCCCGTCCAATCACGTACCGACTAAGCCAGCCGCATAAAAAACGGAGGAACTCACCATCTCTCGGCTCCCGAGCCTTGCATGAATCGTTCGTTGAGGAATGCTTTGTCTACTCACGCTTACTCCTGCGGTCCCTGCTGTCCTCTGTCTTGATGCGTGTGGACTGCTTTCCTCTCCGCGTTGCTGCACCTGCTTCGGGTTCGTGCTGTGGTCCGTGGGTCTTTGCCCCCTCTTCCTCCTTTGCGGCTCTTGCTGCGGGTTACCGCCTGATCGTCTCTTCGCGGCCTGCTGCTGCATACGGCCGGTCTGGCCCGGTGCGGTGGCGAGACCGTGCGCATCTGCACTCTCGTCGCCGGTCGGCGTGGTCCGTGTGTCTGTCCCTTGTTTTCTGGTCGTTGGGTGTAAGTATGCGGACGGTTTATTCCCCTCGCATTGTACTGCAGGCTCAGTTCGCCCGCGTTGTACTGCAGGCTCAGTTGGCCCGTGCATTGGTGGGCAAGCTTCAGTTTAAAGCCCTGCATTGTCTGCAGGCTCTCTTAACAAGCTCCCGTTTAAATCCTCACTTCTGCTGCACAGTCTTGGATCTACACAGCCTCAGTCCTGGGTCTACAGCCTCAGTCCTGGATCTACAGCCTCAGTCCTGGATCTACAGCCTCAGTCCTGGGTCTACAGCCTCAGTCCTGGGTCTACAGCCTCAGTCCTGGGTCTACAGCCTCAGTCCTGGGTCTACAGCCTCAGTCCTGGATCTACAGCCTCAGTCCTGGATCTACAGCCTCAGTCCTGGGTCTACAGCCTCAGTCCTGGGTCTACAGCCTCAGTCCTGGGTCTACAGCCTCAGTCCTGGGTCTACAGCCTCAGTCCTGGGTCTACAGCCTCAGTCCTGGGTCTACAGCCTCAGTCCTGGGTCTACAGCCTCAGTCCTGGATCTACAGCCTCAGTCCTGGGTCTACAGCCTCAGTCCTGGGTCTACAGCCTCAGTCTTGGATCTACAGCCTCAGTCCTGGATCTACAGTCTCAGTCCTGGATCTACAGCCTTAGTCCTGGATCAATATCAAATAACAATATGGGAAACATTTGGACACTTTTTCCCACATTTATCTCAGAAATAGCCTCTTTCACAGACGTTTACTGTAACCTGCTTAAACACAGACCTCCACAACATGAACATAGACATACAGACATAGATCCAGTTCAGCACAGACAAGTTTATAATCTCTCGACAGCTTAAATCCATCACGTACTTGTGCATGAACTCGATGATCTTGTCCTTGCTTCGCAGATGGGGCAGAGTGTATTTGTCTTCTCCGTTGGTGAAGTACTTGACGGTGGGGAAACCCGAGATCTTGAAGCGGTCGCCGACGGCTTTGTGCACCGTGGTGTCCAGGGCGGCCAACACTCCGGGACTCTGCGGGAGAACCACGGAACGAGAGACAGAACAACCATGTGAGATCCAGGAGGTGAGTTTGACCAGAGGCAGCTTGAGGATGTAAACACGACAGCTCAGGTCAGTGCGGCCATCGAGCTCGGACTGACCGTGTGTATGGAGAAAAGTACTTATCATATATCCAAGTTTATAAGCATTATATTAACTAGACACTTTAAAGGAGCATGATGAAAGATTGTCATGTCAAGTCATCATTAAAGGGCCCTAATCCATCCAAAGGCATTCATAAAACATGGTATTTTCTTTAACTGATAACAGTAGTTCAGAGATATTTGAATTTCTAAATTAGTTTTACAGCCCGTAAATCCTGTTTTTGTTTTCATTTCGATGTCCCGCCCTCCACCTTTTAACCAATCAAAGTCTGTGATCCCGGATGCGAGGACTCTGATTGATTCTCAAATCATTAACAACAAAACAAGGAATAAAACCAGGATTTCTATCTTTGTGAAAAAGGTGTTGGTTATAGATTTGTTGTTGACAAAACTCTATTCAGCAGTTATGGTCCCAGCTGGATTCGTCTGCATATCTGGCAACCTGAGTCAGAGAGAGTGGGAGAGGCTGCAGTACCACTTTTGGCCACATTTTTTACATACTGCTCCTTTAAATATGGTCACAAATACCTTTGTTTTGGCTTTATATATTTCTTTTTTATATATGACCCTGTTTTTTATGCGTTGAATAATGCAAGAAGATGAAATAACTTGAGACCAGTGTTCCCCAAACTGATACAAAAATAAACTTTGCAGCCTTGATTAACATTGCAATGTTATTAAAATCAATGTGTATAATATAGAAAATCAAAGAAGCACTAAAATCTAAATCAATCCCATTATTATCTTTATTATACATTATTTTTAACCAATCGGGGATCGAAACACTGAGGGAACAATGTTGTAATATGGTTTAAAAGATCAAAAAAGTGAAAATAAGTTTGCTTAATACGTTTCCTTTAAAGCTTATATACAGTTTTGAGAAATGCAATACCCATGTCCACCAGTAGAGGGAGAGGTCTCGTGCTTTTCCCACTGATTTTAACACGATGATAATGTTGCTGTGCTTCTACCATTTGCTGAATTTGGGTAAATCTTCAACAAATACTTTAGCTTTGTGGATCCCAGGGAGTGTTGCTAATGGACAGTCATAAAACAGTCCTGGTCCGTCTTGAGGCAAAACATCTGAACTGTGAGTAAGAAAATGCTCTTGTAAAAGCGGAAAAAACACGTTTGTGAGGTTCAGGGAGTGAGACCTCCTCAGTCAATCTGTGTTCAATGATTCTGGTCTCTCTGCTCTGACCTCTGCAGAAAAAGACCAGACCAGAGCGAGACCAGAGGAGGAGGAGATGAGATAATCACTCAAGTCATAGGGCTGATCATAGAGAGACTAGAGAGTCCAGAGAAAGAGAGCAGAGGGAGGGACCTTGAGGGAGACCAGAGAGTAACCAGAGAGAGATCAGAGAGACCAGAGCGAGACCAGAGCGAGACCAGACAGACAGACCAGAGAGTAGAGAGAGACCAGAGAGAGGGAGATCAGAGAGAGACCATTGCGAGACCAGAGCAAGACCAGAGAGAGATCAGAGAGAGAGACCAGAGAAAGAGACCAGAGAGAGACCAGAGAGAGACCAGAGAGAGACCAGAGAGTGAACAGAGAGACCAGAGAGAGGGAGATCAGAGAGAGACCATTGTGAGACCAGAGCAAGACCAGAGAGAGATCAAAGAGAGAGAGAACAGAAAGCGAGACCAGGGAGAGAAACCAGAGAAGTTGAGAGAGTGAGACAGCCTCAGTCCATCTGGATCCCATGCTTCTGGCCTCTTTGCTTTGACCTCTGCAGCAGCCAAAGCAGAGAGACCAGAGCGAGACCAGAGGAGGAGGAGGAGATGGAGATGAGATAATCACTAAAGTCATTGGGCTGGAGGATTTACAGGCCTAACGCTGAGAACAGGAGAGGCAGGCGTGCAGCACAGAGCAAACTTGGATCCGGGAGCGATCAGGGAGACACATTATTACCAACATTAAAACAAGCCATTTTTACGATATCTATAAAAGTGAAGGCTACTCGCTCTCAGAATATTTGGATGTGATTGATTCATGCTGTGAGATATTCAAGAAGAGCCGTTATCCCACGAGTGAGAGAAGTGTCTGGGGTTATAGCCAAGGGTCTATTTGTTATGTCATAAGAACCCATCTCACTCGGTCCATGCTCCAACTGTTACTTAAATCAGTTTTTGATTTTATTTATTTTGAGCAAGTGGGCATAGAAATAATCAATGAATCATAAGCAACTTAGGTACATTTACAAAATATAACAAAAAAACATACAACTGAAGAATTTTATCTTTTTAATGCACCACTGTTATTTATAATTGTAATTATTTGTGTGATTTAAATGGTTTTAATTCTTTGATTTTAATGGTTTTAATTGTTTAATTTTTAATATAATTATTTATGTTTTATTTTAATGGTTTTTATTATTTATTTCAATGGTTTTTATTTTTTATATTTTAAGTTTTTTATTTTAATGGTTTTTTATTTTTATTTTAAGGGTTTTAATTGTTTGATTTTGATGTTTTTAATTTTTTATTTCAATAGTTTAATTTATTTTTATTTTAATGGTTTTAATTGATTTTAATGGTTTTAATCACCTGTGTGATTTTATTTGTGTTTTAAATGGTGATTTTCTGTTAGTTTTTAATTGTGACTGTTTTATGTGAAGATTTGTGCCTTGTGTGGTGTGGACAGTGAGGTGCTTTGTGTTTCCCTGTGGAGGAAGAGCGCTCTATACAGGGTTTGAGATGGGAATGGTGGGGAGGCGCAAACAATCTTTTTATATATATATATTTTTTCTGTCATTATGTACTGTATGTGCTTATTGTCTAGTCTGTCTTTCTGGTCATGTGTGTAATTTTTGTTTTATAACCGTTTGACAGAACAAACGGATGATGAGGACCCCCTCGAAAAAGAGATGATTCATCACAAGGGGCCATACACAATAAATAAATAAATAAAGATTGAATGATTGATACTAACAAAACACTTATGGACGCTCAAAAAGAAGTGGGAAGAAGATTTTTTAATCCCACCCATAATTACTTCAGTCATAACAAAGGAAAAGTAAAGGCTTCCTATTGGCTTAGCTCCAACTTAAATTAGCTTCAGTCACGTGTTTTCACATGTCACATCTGTAGATCAGCTTTTCAGACAGAAAAGTTAAAAATATAGGACCACCAGGACTCAGCCAATCAGATTTGAGCCAAAAGAGTTATGTTTAATGTGTATTATTTTTACGTAACTTTCTGTGGGAACAAACAACATGTAATTGATTCGAGATTTTTCTTTTTAGCTCGGTCAGCTCCAAGAAGAATGTTTTTTCTTTTTTTCTGGAGATACGATTGAGAACATTTGGGGACGTGTGGCAGGAGGTCTTCACAATGAAACACAGCTGAACTTCTGACAGCTTTTTTCCAGACTCCAGGACATAATTGGATTCTGGTCAGTATCACTGTGTTTTAGAGAAAAGTATTGCAATTTAAATAAAAAAAATATGTTTCATTTTTGTGTTTTCTGAGTTTCCTTAATTTCTATCTGAGGTTGATGTGCCTCTATGATGACTGCTTATTCACAATAAATCTCCTAATAAGTCTTTTTTCCCCCATTTTTTTGCAATGCCTTTGAATGATATGAAGGACATGAATATCACAGAATTGAATCACAATACTTTCTGTATCGTGATATGTTAAGAATCGCAATAATATTCAATTGTGGCCCAAGTATCACAATACTTTCAAATCCTCAAATTTTGTGTCCAATTCCTGCTCCTAGTTATTCAGATGTTCGTGCGTCCAAAATATTATCAGCACCAATTAAGCGTGCAGCAAACTGATTCATGACGCAGATAGAACTAAACCGCTTAAAATGCACTCACTGCTGACTTTACAGTTTTCACCTGAATTGATAAATACATCGCCATGGAAACGTGTTGTCGTCCTTTTCCACTATCTATGCTGTTAAAAAAAGCTTACTGTTGGGCTTTTTTGTCCCACTTTTGCATCATTAAACTCTACTTAGAACTTCAGACTGTGCAAAAGGTAGGTTTCAACTGGTCTGGACCGGGTCTAACAGGACTCGGGGGACTCCAGGGCACTTCCTAGGCAGCGGCTTGGGTTATAGCAAAGATTCTCCAACATTTAAAAAAAATTCTATATATTCTCCCATATATTTTAGAAGTCCTCTGTTGTAAAGGATTTTTGACTTTCAGATTAAATTAAACATCCTGGCATTTAAAGACCTGTTTGATTAGTAGAATATGTCAAAATATGAAGAATATTTTACTTTTATTTATTTTTTTATTCGTTTTTTATTTAGTTCTCCATCTCTTATCAAGTTTCAGGGCTCCACGTTTTGTCTGTTTCACATTCAATTTCAGAAAAACCCTGATGCCAAAAGGGCTGAATACAAAACATGTCTACATTGCAGCATTTCCCATAGTCTTAAAAGTGCTGCAGCTGTCAAAAGCCGTGCATACACTGTAAAAACAGCTGCACAGGACGCTGAGCGGCAGGTGGGGAACGGACGGCAACGGGGAGACCAGAGTGAGAGACCAGAGCGAGAGAACAGAGAGAGACCAGAGCGAAAGAACAGAGAGACCAGAGAGAGACCAGAGAGTGAGAACAGAGAGACCAGAGACCAGAGTGAGAGACCAGAGCGAGAGAACAGAGACCAGAGAGTGAGAACAGAGAGACCAGAGACCAGAGTGAGAGACCAGAGCGAGAGAACAGAGAGACCAGAGACCAGAGAGAGAGACCAGAGTGAAAGAACAGAAAGACCAGAGAGAGAGACCAGAGCGAGAGACCAGAGCGAAAGAACAGAGAGACCAGAGAGAGACCAGAGCGAGAGAACAGAGCGAAAGAACAGAGAGACCAGAGCGAGAGAACAGAGCGAAAGAACAGAGAGACCAGAGAGAGACCAGAGAGAGAGACCAGAGCGAGAGAACAGAGACCAGAGCGAGAGAACAGAGACCAGAGAGAGACCAGAGCGAGAACAGAGCGTAAGAACAGAGAGACCAGACAGAGACCAGAGCGAAAGAACAGAAAGACCAGAGAGAGACCAGAACGAGATCAGAGTGAGAGACCAGAGCGAAAGAACAGAAAGACCAGAGAGAGACCAGAACGAGATCAGAGTGAGAGACCAGAGCGAAAGAACAGAAAGACCAGAGAGAGACCAGAACGAGATCAGAGTGAGAGACCAGAGCGAAAGAACAGAGAGAGAGAGACCATAGAGAGACCTGAAAGAGAGAACAAGGCGACCAGAGGGAGAGACAAGGGAGAGACCACAAAGACCAGAGTGAGAAACCAGAGCGAGAGACCAAAGAGACCAGAGAGCAACCAGAGAGAGACCAGAGAGAGACCAGAGAGAGACCAGAGCGAGACCACAGAGAGACCACAGAGAGATCACAGAGAGATCAGAGCGACAGAACCGAGAGAGACCAGAGCGAGACCAGAAACAAATCAGTGGTGCACACAAGCCTCTGACTTCACATGAAGGTAACTCATGTTATACTAGCGGTTTCATGACGTTGTAAGTGATGTTGAAGTACACACACAACACATGAGAAACACACTGTTCAATAAATAACACAAAATTACACAAAACAGCCGCGAAAGGAGAACCGTGATAGTGATGGACCAACGCTGTACATAGTGATTTGATAAACAAAGTCCCAGTATAATCAGATTCCCATTATCAGTGACAAACTATATATTACGGGTTCTGGTTAAAAAAAACAACAGTACAAAAAAGGCATAAGAGGTTTAAGAAGCCGTTGTATAAATGCGGCTAAAGTGGTTCAAGAAGGGTCTGTTCTTTTTAAGTGTTGTTTTGCGGAGTCCAATAACCATAATCAGAATCAGAATCATTTTTATTGCCACGTAAGTAACAGGAGGTCACAGACTAGGAAATTGCTTTGGCTCAGTGCAACAGTCAAAAAGAGATAATAAAAATAAGAATAAAAACACTTCTAAAGAATAAATTTAAATTTAAAATAGAGTTACAGTTACTATTTACAATATACAAGTGCACATGGTGCACACAATGTAAGGTGACAGCAGTACAGTGAAGTAAAGTGACGTATGATGGGCAGTAAAGTGACTTTATAAAGGGCGGGGGGACAGGTTAAGAAGTGTTCAAGAGTCCAACAGCAGAGGGGAAGAAACTGTTCTTGTGGCGGGAGGTTCTAGTCCTGATGGACCGCAGGCCTCCTGCCTGAGGGGAGTGGTTGGAATAGTCCATGTGCAGGGTGAGAGGGGTCGGCTGTGATACGACCAGCCCGGCCTCGAGCTCGGGCGACGTACAGGTCCTGCAGCGATGGAAGGCTGCGGCCGATCACTTCCTCTGCAGAGCGCACAATGCGCTGTAGTCTCTGTTTGTCCCTGACTGTGGCTCCAGCGAACCACACGGTGACGGAGGAGGTGAGGATGGACTCGATGATGGCCGTGTAGAACTGCACCAACATCTGTGCAGGCAGCTTGGCTTTCCTGAGCTGCCGCAGGAAGTACATCCTCTGCTGGGCCTTCTTGATGAGGGAGCTGATGGTCGGCTCCCACTTGAGGTCCTGGGTGATGGTGGTGCCCAGGAAACGGAAAAACTCCACAGAGGTGATGGGGGAGTCCATCACGGAGGGTGGGGGTGGGGGGACAGTGCTCTTCCTGAAGTCCACAATCATCTCCACTGTCTTCTGGGCGTTCAGCTCCAGGTTGTTACCACTGCACCAGGACACCAGCCGGTCCACCTCCCTCCTGTAGGCGGACTCATCGTTGTTGGAGATGAGTCCAATGAGGGTGGTGTCGTCCGCGAACTTGATCAGCTTCACAGAGTCGTGGCTGGAGGTGCAGTGGTTGGTGTACAGGGAGAAGAGCAGGGGAGAAAGAACACAGCCCTGTGGGGCTCCTGTATTTATAATCCGAGAGTCCGAGACATTCTTCCCCAGACGCACTCGCTGCTTCCTGTCCGTCAGGAAGTCAGTGATCCACCTGCAGGTGGAATCGGGCACGTTGAGCTGGGAGAGCTTGTCCTGGAGCAGGGATGGCAGGATTGTGTTGAAGGCAGAGCTGAAGTCCACGAACAGGACCCTGGCGTCGGTCCCCGGGGAGTCCAGGTGCTGTAGGATGTGGTGGAGGGCCAGGTTAATGGCGTCGTCTACAGATCTGTTGGCTCTGTAGGCGAACTGCAGGGGGTCCAGGAGGGGGGAGGTGAGGGACTTGAGATGGGAGAGAACCAGGCGTTCAAATGACTTCATGACGACAGACGTAAGTGCTACAGGTCTGTAGTCATTGAGTCCTGTGATCCTGGGCTTCTTCGGGACGGGGACAATGATGGAGGATTTGAAGCAGGCCGGGACATGGCAGGACTGCAGAGAGGAGTTGAAAATGTCCGTGAACACAGGAGTAAGCTCACTGGCGCAGTGTCTCAGAGTGGCCGGAGACACGTGGTCCGGGCCAGGAGCTTTGCGGGGGTGCAGCCTCAAGAAGAGTTGTTTAATCTCTTTAGAGGCTATTGTTAGGCTGGGGGCAGGGCTGATGGGTGGGTCGTTAGAGTAGTGGGGGGTGGGGGAGGGGAGAGGTGTCAGGGGCAGCATCAAAGCGACTGAAAAATAAGTTCAGTTCGTCAGCTAGCTTGTGGTCGTCAGCACAGGGGGGGGCTTTGGGTTTGTAGTTGGTGATCTCCCGTAGGCCCCTCCAGACAGAAGCAGTATCGTTGTTACCAAACTGCTCCTGTAGTCGTTCTCTGTGCCGGGACTTGGCTGCTTTCAGTTCTCTCCTGAACTGATATTTAGCTGCTTTGTAGCCGCTGCGGTCCCCCTCCCTGAAAGCAGACTCCTTTGCTTTCCTGAGCTGCCGGAGTTGAGCAGTGAACCAGGGTTTGTCGTTGTTATAGATGACCCTGGTCCTTGTTGGAATGATGCTATCCTCGCAGAAGTGGATGTATGACGTCACAGTGTCCGTATATTCATCCAAACTATCTGTGGCAGCTCTGAAAAGGTCCCAGTCTGTAGATTCCATGCATGCGCGCAGCTCTTCCACAGCTTCATCAGACCACACTTTGGAGCTCCTCACTGCAGGTTTCGAGAGCTTTAGTCTCTGTCTGTAAGCAGGAACCAGATGTATCATGGAGTGATCTGAGAAGCCGAGGGCTGGCTTGGGAACAGTGCGAAAAGCTCCGCGCACGGTGGTGTAACAGTGATCCAGAGTGTTCTCCTCTCTGGTCGGGCATTTGATAAACTGTCTGTATTTGGGTAATTCCTGGCTCAAGTTTCCCTTATTAAAATCCCCCAGGATAATAATCAGAGAGTCCGGGTATAAGCGTTCCATACACAGTACTTGCTCTGCGAGTGCGCGCTGAGCCTCGCGCGCGTCCGCGCATGGCGGTATGTAAACAGAGGCAAGAATGAATGAAACAATTTCGCGCGGGGAGTAATATGGTTTACAATGAATGAAAAGATATTCCAGAGCAGGAGAGCAGTGCTTGGAGATCACTGTCACATCGTTACACCAGTTTGTATTGACATAGAAACACAGCCCACCGCCTCTGCTCTTCCCTGAGAGCGCACAATGGCGATCCGCGCGGAACAGCCCAAAGCCCTGCAGCTCCAGAGCGCAGTCCGGGATCCGCTCATTTAGCCAGGTCTCAGTGAAGCAGAGGACACAGGATGTGGCGAAGTCCTTGTTTCTTCTCATGAGCAGGCTGAGTTCGTCCATCTTATTGCCCAGTGAGCGTACGTTGGAGAGAAAAATGCCGGGGAGAGCCGTGCGCGCTCCTCTCCTCCTAAGACGCACGAGCAGGCCTCCGCGCCTTCCCCTTTTACGGGCCCACACTTTTTTGGCTAGAACATGAACTAAATCAGCCGCAGATGCCAAGAAAACAGGCAATAGGTCCATGGGAACGGTGGGTCGGATGTTCATAAGTTCCTCACGGGTGTAGGAACAGCCAGATGCGCAGTTAAAAAGTAAAAACAAAAGAAAAAGAGAGCAGCAAAGAGCCATGTCGACCGTACGAGGCGCCATCTTTGTAATCTTTGTAATAAATACTGAACGTCATGGGACCGAGACCACGCTGCTTCTATAGTGGGATTGTAATGAGGCTGGAGACACGGAGCTGTTTGTGAAATGGACTGGAATGAAGTAGGTGAAAACTCACGTCCGCCGCCTTGTTCAGGACCTCCGCAGCCTCGTCGTACTCCGGCTTCATCTTCTTGCAGTGACCGCACCCTGGAAGACACAAAACCAGGTCAGAGCAGTGGGTTTTATGGTCCTGACAAAACAGAAGACAATTTTCATGGTTCAAAGTGGCTCAAGTTTTAGGCTCAGCCCTTATATGATGATTATTATCTATTCATCCATCTTCTTCTTCCCCTTAATCCATCAGAGGGGTGGCAGTCAGAGAAGTCTTGCCCAGGGACATAATGGCAGCAGACATCAGGTCTCGTGGTGGACTCGAACCCACAACCTTCAAGCTCAAAGGCCCATGCTCTACCAACTGAGCCCCTGTCGGCCCATAGTTTCTATTCAATTCAATTTATTCTAGCATAGCCCTAAATCACTAGTTTCTCAAAGGACTTTACAAAGTTTTGTCAAAACATTTCAGAGAATCAAAGTAAAAAAACTCAGAAGGCAATGATATAAAACACAATTACATGACATTTACTGGAATTTCATGCCTCAGAATGAGAATTAATATCTCCAAAATATACAGATAAACAAGTATAAGATAATATAATTTAAGAGATCCTGTATTCGTCTAACCTTGCCTGCAAGCTGAATTCTCGCGGTATTTGTGAGTTCACAAACACTCGAGAATACATCTTGTCCCGCTCCCGCCAACCCTTTTCGAGTCGAACCACTGGGTGTTCAAGCCAATCACGCGCCAGTCTGGGGGTTTAGGGCGGGATATCTGGGTTTGACGAAAGCAAGAAGTGCCGGGCCGAAGCAAAACAAACATGGCTACGCAGGAGGACGGACGCGTAGCTGAGGCTATCAAGTCAGTTTTAGCAGAATCTCCAATTTCTTTTTTGAAAGATGAACAGCGAGAGGCGCTTTTTGCATTTCTGGACGGCAACCTTGGTAGGCGGGCACACAACGTCACTTCGCCCAATCAGCTTGAAGTATTCTGCTGCTTATCCCTCCTTTCCCCGAAAGGATTCTCCTGCAGAAGTCCCAGATTGATATTGTGGAGAACGCATTAGAGTTCTCCACAATCATCAATCTGGCTCTTGCCAGGTTAGTATTCGTCCCACAGTGGGGAAATGTTAGTGTTGCAGCGCACAGACAGGACAGCAGTAAGAGACACAGGGAACACACAAAACACAAAATAAATAGCTGCTATGTTTCTTAGCTAGCTGTAAATGCTTCAATAACAATCTCTTTCAAAATATTTATATAAAGTACTGTATATGAAGGATACAAAAAATGACCTCAGCATGCAAGTCCCTACTTCTACCACCAGAGGGAACTATAAACCACTTGTTTACACTTCCCGGTTGTAAAGAGTAGAATTTTGCCAAACTGATAGAAGCAATACTTTTGTTTTAAAAGTCATAAAATATGTCTGAACTAGGATTTGTCCAAATGTACCAGGTTTGAGCAAGGAAAATTTAGACGGAAAAGAGGTGGGGATGTGATTGTGCCAGAAGTTGCCAATATCAATGTGGATGGATCTAAAAACAACTCCAGGGTGTAGAGGCTGAGCCGGCTTTGTAAATGTATCCGTCCACACAGAGCTCAAAAACAATCCATTTCACCAGAGAGAATTGTAATGTGGGTGCCAGGCCTGATGGCGGCGCTGTGAGGCTTCGACAGGAAAATACAAATCAGACACAGAAACACACACTCACTCCCCCGCTAAAAAAATAACATTGCAAACGCTAATACAATAACATCGCTAATGCTAACAGCTTAAATCCTAAACAGGGGGTGAAGACAACAGGCTTTTTCTTTATATTTCCTGCAGTTTCTTCCGCACACACGTGGCAGCAAAGATTCATGCCGTTTCAGGTCAGTACAGTAAGTAAGTAATTAAGTCATGTTTATTTACATTGCACGTTTTTACAGACCAGCGGTGATGACGTGGCAAGAGCTCTGGTGTGTGTCGTCTGGTGCACACTGGGGTAAGTCTTGCGCAGTTTTTCCAATGTGGTTTTACTGCAAATGGCAAATAAATGAATCTGAATCTGATGTCATTGTGTTGAAAGAGTTATTTGGCGTAAACACATTTGGCGTAAATCCACTCCAGACACGTTTAAGACAGCGTCAAACTCATGGGACCAAGGTTAAAAATGTGTGTTTCCAACTCACAGAACGCAGGCTTTGATTGGATGATGCACTGGAATGATCAGAATCGTTTTTATTGCCATGTAAGTAACAGGAAGTCACAGTCTAGGAAATTGCTTTGGCTCAGTGCAACAGTCAGACAAAAAGGTTAAGAAAAGTTGTAACGTTTTTGCGTCTAGACCTGAATTTGAGGTCTGCACTAGATCATATACGGAATCGGGAAGAAACCACAAGTAACAATCATAATTCGAATTAACTTTAGACTAATAAGTCCTTAAATGGTGACTGGTTAAGTTTTAGGCGTCTGAGTAAGATGGTTAAGGTTAGGGTTAAGGTGGTCTGAGTAAGATGGTTAAGGTTAGGGTTAAGGTGGTCTGAGTAAGATGGTTAAGGTTAGGGTTAAGGTGGTCTGAGTAAGATGGTTAAGGTTAGGGTTAAGGTGGTCTGAGTAAGATGGTTAAGGTTAGGGTTAAGGTGGTCTGAGTAAGATGGTTAAGGTTAGGGTTAAGGTGGGTCTGAGTAAGATGGTTAAGGTTAGGGTTAAGGTGGTCTGAGTAAGATGGTTAAGGTTAGGGTTAAGGTGGTCTGAGTAAGATGGTTAAGGTTAGGGTTAATGTGGTCTGAGTAAGATGGTTAAGGTTAGGGTTAAGGTGGGTCTGAGTAAGATGGTTAAGGTGAGGGTTAAGGTGGGTCTGAGTAAGATGGTTAAGATTAGGGTTAGGGTTAGGGTTAGGGTTAGGGTTACGTCTGTGGGTGACGTCAAGAGTTTGCGCCGAACGGGCAGGTTGTAGTTTCGCAATGGAAAAAAATGTGATAGTAAAGTAATCCGGTCTGGTTCTATCAAGAAATTGAAGCCGGAGCAAGAGGAATGTTTAGCAAATGTAATTGCTGGCAAGAATTGTGGCGCTAGTCCCCACGGGCTCCGTTAGCGGCAAAGGAGATGGGCTAAATCCTAAATACCAAATACCAACTACTCACTTTGGGGCATTACATACGTGACGGTAAACTCAGATCCAATTGTTTCAATCTGCAAAAGGAGTTAACCCCTCCCACCTGTTAACGGAGTCAATGGAGCACCTCCAGACCTTAGTATGAAAAGTTGTTTGTACTATGGTGTGGTACGACCAGGCTACCTCTGGACAAGTGTTGAAAAATAGTCTAGTCTTGCTGTAACTAATCTAGCCCAGAGCTGAGAGGATGCACAGTCCCAACCAAGCAGATCAAGCGGAAATCTACTGGAGGAATGCTTAATGTTTTGAAAAATGCAAAGTAAAGTATTCGGAATTTCACTGGCCTTAACCACCCGTAAACTCTGGTCCATGATCATTTCCTACATGCACCATCTGGGTCTGATCCCAGTGTCTGCAATTACATTGGTTGAATCCCATCCGACCATTCAGCGATTGTGGGAGGCGGGTGTTGTCAGTCTGTGTCGGTGACGTCAAGACCTTGTGCCAAATTTGCCAGTTGTAGTTTGGCAATGGCGGCGAATGCGATAGTAAAATAACCTGTTCTGGTTCTATCAAGAAATTGAAGGTAAAGCAAGAGGAATTGTTTAGGAAATGTAATTGCTGGGATAGGTTTTGTGGCGCTACTCCCCACGGGCTATGTTAGTGGCAAAGGAGAGGCTAAAGCTAGGCTAAATGCTAGTGACTCACTCGGGTGCATTAACAGGTTAGTTAACAGGTGGGAGGGGTTAATGGAGCTCAATGGAGAAAATCCAGACCTTAGTACAAAATGACATTTGTACGATGGTAATACCAGGCTAGGATGCATGTGTTTCTGCTGCTGGAATATCTCCTACAGGAATCAGTAAGTATCTAATATTACAGACAGTGCAATTGGACTGGCCAATGTGACTGCTGTGTCCACATCAAACACAAAAATGAATAAATGCCAGTTTTGATAAAAGCACTCCCTCCTATTTAACAAACACATATAACTTTCTCTGTGCCATCCTAACCCCGGCTCTCTCTCCAGCGTGAGTCTGTCTGCTCGGATCAGCGCTGCTCTTGTTAGCTCTCTGGAGTGCCGTCGCCTGCACGCCTCTTGTCAAACGCAGTATTTCTCATGTAGCGCCGGTGGAAGTACAAACGCTGTGAAGTCGTGTAGCATTACTCAGAACATGTGTCATTCCCAGGATGTGTTTGAACTAAAGAGGGAGTCTGAGGGAGTCGGAGAGAGGCGGAGGAGGACGGGCTGGAAATGAGGGTTTAGATGCAATTGTAGAAGTCTAGTGCTGTGGGTTTTTATGGGAACGTTCAATCCGTTTCGTTTCTGTACAGCCCTAAATCACAGCTGGAGTTGTTATCTCTGAGGACTTTACACAGTTGTCGATTCGCTAACAATAGTTCAGAGAGTCAAACGGTTAAAACACAGGAAGAGCAATAAAAACAAATGCATTGGAGATATTAGTTCACAGGGAGCGGGATGACCGACGTCCATCCATCCATCCATCCATTTTCTACCCTTTAATCCATTTCTGGGTCAGGGGGGTGGCAGGCAGAGATGCCACCCAAGTCTCATAGCACCAGCCCCTCACTGACCCTCTGCAGGTGGTGAGTCCACAGGAGGACGGCTGCTCTGAGTGTGAGCATAGCCTTGATCTTTCAGTGGGGGCAACTGAAACTTATGACCGACGTCCATAAATGATAATACCTGGATCAACACTGTACTGCAAAAAGTGATGACAAATAAGTGAAAAAATTGGCAAAATGTATCTTAATTTGAGCACATTTTGAACAAGCAAAAAGATACAATGAATGAGAACGAGAAAATAGAGCAACAGTTCTTGAGTTAAGACTACATCTCTTTGTCCCATTGGCAAATCCTGTTTTAAGACAGGGTCAGAATGAGCTCAAATTAAGATAAAAACCACTCTATTCAAGCATTTATCACCTCATATTTTATCATTTTTTACAGTGTGTCCTTAGAATCCTGCA